ATCTATCTATCTATCTATCTATCTCAAAAAGTTCATATTTATCTATCTTAATTAATTCATATCTATCTATCTATCTATCTATCTATCTATCTATCTCAAAAAGTTCATATTTATCTATCTCAATTAATTCATATCTATCTATCTATCTATCTATCTATCTATCTATCTATCTATCTATCTATGTTGATGGACTTAGCAGTTGAGATTCTATGTTCCCATCAATAATACATATGATCTTATTTTGCTTTGTGATGGGAAGCAGTCTGAGTAAATGGTGTCTGACATGAAAGTGTAGACGAATCAGCAGAAAGGAAAACTGCAAAGGATCCTACGTAATATCCGTATTTGGAATGTTGTTTATCTGAAGATTAATTACCACTTTGAACCTTGACCGCCTGATTAGTACGGCATAAGTACTTTCACACAGCGGCCGATATAGCGACCGCACCGGTTCAAAGTTATTATTATTATTATTATTTTTATTTTCTTTGATTTCTGGCGCTTACACATTTCTTTCCGGGTCCCGCCCAGGGACCTAAGGTTAGAAATGGCGTCATGACACTTTCCACTGACAAAAAAAGAAAAAGAAAAAGATTACATAGATAAAGCCCTTCCTAAGGTGTGGGCTGTACTTGTCAGAACAATTTTCTGTATCTCCTTGAGCCATGGACTTCCAGGAATCCCTTATTATTATTATTATTATTATTATTATTATTATTATTATTATCTATTTATTTATTTTTATTCTATTTATTTTTATTTATTTATTTTCTAAAATCATGAGTTAACTGTTTTCCTTTAATGTTTACTTTTTTATTGTAGTATATACATATGTTGGCTTAAAAAAGGAGCATATCAGGGCGTATGTTTATATTCAGTTTAGTTACAATTAATACACTTCCGAGACCTTTTCGTCTGAATTATTTTCTCTCTTAATAAAGACAGTATTTTCGAAATCGAAATTGGGGTTGAAATCATCACATACTGCGACTGGAATTTTTATCTTTTCACATTGAAGCCGTTAAAATTTTGAGAAGAAGAATTTAGTTAGGAAAAAATGCTTTGAAAAGGCAGTGATTTCACAATTCTCGATATTGAATCTGTTAACGGCGGCTGGATTTGATTAATCTGAGTTTGAGAGAAAGAATTTCAAGTAAAAAAAAAAAACTACTTGCTCAATTCGGTATGCAAATTAATAGAGAAAATAACAACGATCTATTTTGAAGTGGGTTAAATTTAAAATAATTAACAAATCACAGAATAAGGAAAATGATTTTGATAGGAGGTGAATCCCTCATAAAGGCACTAGGTAAATGCCACTCAAGCACAAAGATAAATGACTGAATGGGGGTGTCATCAGCAAGAGTTTATGGACTTTTCTTACCTATGCATATAAAGCCATTGCTTTTCTTTTTCACAACTCTCCAGAAAGCCTTTGCAAACAAAGATCGCAGGGTGGATATGCGGGTGGTGTAATGGATAGCGACTCGCAATAAGAAATCACAGAGTTGATTTTGAATTCTAGTTGGCTCCGTTATATTCACATACGTGGAAATACCCTTGATAAAAGTATGAATCTATCTACTCCCCAAACTATGTATTGAATGATATTTGTTTGCTTGTTTAGTGGCATATCAATTCCCTATGGGTCATTTAATGCGGAAATTTAATTTTCTTGAGAGCATTAGTATTTTTTTTTGACAAAGGTATTGCTGGTAATTTTTTTTTATGTATTTTTGGTAATATTTTTTTACAATGAAAATGGTATTTTTTACTATAATTGTTTTTTATACTTTCATAGTGCTTTGACCCTAGTTCTGGCGTTAATTATTTGCCCATTGCTAGGACCCTAACAGGTGCTACAATCCCGGGTCAGTGTGAACCTGGGAACAACAGCAATTAAGAGGTGGTTCCATGTTCCTCATAACTTCTCAATGAGAGGCTTTGCTGCCAGATTTAGTATATCGTCATAACCAGGACAAGGATTAAAAATCGGAGGACTTATATATGAAAAAAATATAATTGTTATTGTAAAAAGTAGTTAATTCAAAGTTCACTTGCGAAAAAAAAAAATCTTACCATCCAAAATATATCAATAGGAGTAGATAGGTTCGCCTATCGCCCTGTTCACACTCTCGTCTATTGATCTGGAGTAGAGGTTTATCCATTTCTGTTTAGGATTGGGTTTCCGGTTCCTTCTAAAGTCTTTAAATTCTCTTTCACTCCCAGTAATATCCTTGCGTCTTAGTGGCATTATCGCCTTTCTTGGGGCTGGTGGTGATTAAAAAACAATGTTCTGGATTTAAATAACTGTTGTGGTAAACCCTCTTACAGTATAATGAACTCTTCCTCCTCTCATAAATACAAACTGTGAGAGTCGGATGAGAAGAGGGTAAGTGGAGTAGAGTAGTAGACGCAGTACTAATCTACTTATTACTAACACTATTGTTTTGTATATATCTTCAATATACTTTTTCAATCTACCTTCGTCTTCCGTGTCTTTATTTCTGGCCCCTAAACAGGCCACAACAATAACCCACAAAGGTTTGATAAGGTGTAAAAAAAAAACAAACAAATTAATCAATTTAATCTTTTAGCGGGATGCTACTCCTGGACATTACTTACATTGTACTTGTCAGGGGAGTATTACCTCAGGTGTTTGTTCCAAAAAAAGTCACACTTTTGGAGGATAATCTGTTTAAGATGGAATTTGCTTTTTATCAAGTGGAGCGACTATATCGAATCAATAGCTACATCTACTGCAAAGAAAGTCGGTTCACTGTGCCGTGCCAGAAGATTTTTCTTGTTAGAATTCAGCTTGCACATTCACAAATCTACCATTCCTTCGTGCATTGGATGATGCTGCCTTATCTGGTCTGGTGCTCCTGCTGTACATCTCTAAGTTATTGACAAAATCCAAAGAAGGATCTGCAATTTAATCAATCCTGACCAGGCATCTCGACCTCAGTCAATTTCTCACTGACGTAACGTGGCTTCCTGCTGTCTTTTCTACAAATATTTATACGACTACTGCTCTGACGAACTTTTTACCCTGGTGCCCTCGAATTTATGAATTTAAGCGTGCTACTAGATTGGCATCTTGGTCCCACACTTTTAATGTTGAAATAGGTAAATGTAACCGCCACTCCAAACGTTTCTTTTCTATCACTTCCCATATGTGAATCTCTCTTCCGTTTCCTTGCTTCCTAGACAACTACAATTTTCAAAAAATTTAAATGCAATGTCAATCGCAATCTTCTTGAACCCCGTTCATCTTTTGTCCCTTTCTCAATCCCCACCATTCTCAGTCTTTTCTTTCACTTTCATTCCCTGTAAGCCTCTGCATACTAGTGGCATTACCGTCTTGCTTGTGGGAAAATGATAAAAAATGGAACACATTGTGAATGGGGATGCTTTTCTAGTGCGACACGGCATATCGGGCTCTAGATGGGAAGGACCGAGCTGGTGGGATTTAATTGAATTGACTTCTGAGTCCTACGGGGATTTATTATTGATGGACACAATCATAAAAGCATAAGATAGACAGATAACAGAAAATAGCAGACACAGCAAATAAACTACATTAACATCTACAGAAGGTAGTAAAGAAAATCGGGAAGAAAGGACTAACTATCAATTGCAAGAAAACGGAATGAATAGTTGTCAAGAAATCAACGCTCCAAGATGCGAACTGCCAATTCAAAAATCAAGCAAGTATGAAAATTTAAACATATAGGAAATGTCTTAACAGGGGATGGAAAGTGTGACAGCGAAATCCGAAATAGCATTGGAATAGCGAAAATGCCTTTTAAAAGCTAAGCAAATATTGAGAAACAGGGAAATCTTTTCAAGAACAAATAAAAGTGTGATGAGGTATTATATAATATCAGTTCTCCTATATGGCAGTGAATGATGGATCTGCGATCACAGATAAAAAAAGAGACCTGAGACAACAGAAATGTGTTTCTAAAGAAGCATGCCATGGACGGAACGCGTGAGTCATGAGGAAGTTTTAAGAAAAATAGAATCAAAAAGGACATTTTTTTAAAGCATATCACCCCAAAATGGTCGGGAGTGCTACTAGCACGCCAGGGGTTACAGAGAGCGAGAATAAGAGTAAAGAGGGGATGTTTGGGGAAAGGATAAAGAGCAAGACGGGGATCAAGATCAAGACATCAGAAGATGTCGATTGACATTACATTTGAATATTTGAAGATTATAGCTATCAGGGAAGCAAGTAAGAGGAAGGGAGTTCCCCTGACTGGAAGTTCGAGATAAGAAGCTGTGGGAGTAGAAGAGGTGGTTACATTTAACCGTTTCGACTGTGAAAGGGTGGGGCCGAGATTCCAATCTGGTAGCACGCTTAAATTCATGCAGTTTGGGAGCCAGTAAAAGTAGCTCGTCAGAGAAGTTGGCATGAAAATACTTGTAGAAAAGACATAGGGAAACGACTGCACGTCTGACTTATACTTATACTTGGCATTTTTGGAAGCATAATGAGGAATGAGTACTAGAAAAATTTGAATCACACAGGACATATTTAAGGTAAGAATACCAAAGGAAGGAAGGAGTATATATATATATATATATATATATATATATATATATATATATATATATATATATATATATAAAAGAGTTTGTGTAAATGGATGGCAGAACAATTGCTGGGAGTATAATGAAAAGACAAATCTTTCAACAAAGGATAGGAAATTGTGGAGAGTCATGATCCCTAACATCCTGATGAGACACGTTATACAGAATAATAATGATAGGAAAAGCCAGTGAGGATCTAACGCACTAATCTCTAATAATAATGTTCATCTTGACAATCCTGTCTGACCATTAAACTCTGCCGAGACGCCGTAACACTGAAATGTTTCACAGGCAGCAAATAGCCGGAAAATGGAAAATACTTTAAAAATGTTCCCGACAGTTTGTAAAACGAGGATTCACAAACTGGGTTCCGCTTCTCTCTGGGGTTATGCAATTCAGATTCAATGGGTACGCAATCAAGTCCCTCACGCCCTTGTTCACCTCTTTTTATGATTCACCAATCTGAGGTTCTTTTTCCCCCGCTGATAGAAACAGACAATTTGCTTTCTGTATTCCCCTTCCGCCTCAGCTTTCTCACGCGCAGCGCGCATCTTGCACAAGATTTGACATTGAGTACAATAAG